AAAACGCTCCGGTTACTGACGTACTGAGATAAGGGAACGAGCGTTGCGTGAGACGCTAAGGGGAAAACTCCTGTTTTACTCTGTACTGAAGCCTGATTTGTTCACGTTTGTGTAGCTGCACAAACCAATGGCACTTTAGCCCACCAGAAAGGGCAGAGCCGACCCCTATATAAGTCGGACCCCTAGGGGAAGTTGTGGCCTAATGGTTAGAGAGTCGGACTCGTAACCCAAAAGGTTGTGGGTTCGAGTCTCGTACCAGCAGGGATTGTAGGTGGGGGGAGTGAATGTACAGCGCTCTCTCCCATTGAAGGTGGTATCCCACCTTCAATACCACGACTGAGGTGCCCTTGAGCAAGGCACCGAATCCCCAACTGCTCCCCGGGCGCCGCAGCAAAAATGGCTGCCCACTGCTCCGGGTGTGTGTTCACGGTGTGTGTGTGTGTTCACTGCTGTGTGTGTGCACTTAGGATGGGATAAATTCAGAGCACTAATTCCGAGTATGGGTAACCATACTTGGCCACATGTCACGTCACTTTCAAAGCGCCATTCATCAGCTCATTCGACTGAAGCGACAGTCGTCATTTCGTGTGCAGCTTATAGCACGGCAAGTGACGCAACGCTCGTTCCCTTATCTCAGCTTGCGAGATCAGAGAATCACTTCAGCAGAAGGGGCCACGGGGCTGCTGCTGAGAGCTGCACTAGCTCTGGGAACCAGGCCTAGTTCTTCCAGAGCGGGGCCACTAGGAGGAGAGAGCACTTGGTCTCCCTGACCAGCCACCATCAAAAACCAGTCCTCAGGGCATATTTGTGTGAGGATCTGTTTTAGAGTTAACATCTTGAACAGCCATCTCATAAGTGAGCGATTCAGATGCCTGAGATTGAGAATTTGTCTGAGCCCGCCATCTTCTTTGGAACGAGGAAGTAGCGGCTGAAAAAGCCTGACTCGCTGTTCGCTGGGGGCACTATTTCCACAGCGCCTTTTGCAAACAATGTCTGCACTTCTTGTCGGAGAATGAGCCCTTCGTTGTCCAGAACAGAAGTTTGAACAATGCCATTGAAGCGAGGTGGCCTGCGAGCGAACTGAAGCGACTAACCTCGCTGAATTGTCTTCAAAACCCAACTTGATACTCCCTGAATGGCTGCCTAAGCCATGAAACGGGAGGCGAGGGTTTATTTTTGCGAATGAGAGTTCGCCGAGAGAAGGCAGGGAACTTGCATTCGCGTGAGTGCGTGAGAGAGTGTGAAGAGGAAATTTGCTCTTTACTGTATGTGGGTCCGATATCAAAGCGATAAAAAATTCGGGTACCTGCAGGACGTGACCCGCTGGAAACGAAACTCCATTGCTCAGAGGTGCTCGGAGGCATGGAGGATGAAAGCGAGTTGTTTTTCGGGGCATTCCGGCCGAGGCGAGAACAGAGCCCCTCCTCATCCTCTCTAGCGCATCAGGACAGCTTAGGCGGCTCGGGGTCCAGCACAACTCATGGGCAGGGACCTTGATGCTTCGGAAAGGGGAAGCGTTTCGCGGTCCGGGGGCGCTTCTGCAGCCCAGACTCAGATTTCCGTTGAGGCTGAGGCTGCGCCGGCTTTGCAGGCTGAGTGGTGGGATTCTTCTGGCGGCCCGCAGCCGCGGGGCCAGAGCGCTTGGGGAGGAAGTGACGCAGCGCCTGTGACGTCTTCTGAGCCTCCGCAAACCTTTCTGCAAACTCCTCCACAGCGGGGCTGAGCAGGCTCTTCGGCGAGAACGGAAAGTCAAGGAAAGCCATCTTCTCAGCGTCCCTGATCTCAGTGAGGTTCAACCATAGGTGGCGCTCCAGCACCACCAAACTGGTCATGGTCTTGCCGATCGCCTGCGCCGTTGCTTTTGTGGCACACAAAGCCAGGTCTGTTGCTGTGCGCAGCTCTTTGAAAGTCTCCTGTTGTTCTTGGCCAGACTTGTCCATGCTGTGGAGAAGCTTGGTTTGAAACACTTGGAGAACCGCCATTGTATGCAGCGCCGACCCGGCCTGGCCAGCCGCTGCATAAGCCTTATTGGCGAGCGCCGAGGTGGTCCTGCTGGGCTTAGAGGGATGCGCTGCGTGGGCCTTTAATCCGAGGGCGGATGGCGGGCACAAATGAGCAGCAACTGCTTCCTCCAGAGGGGGGAGCTTGCTGTATCCCTTGTCATCAGCGCCGTCAACGGTGGTGAGAGCCGCTGCTGTAGAGAGATTTACTCGGGCCGAGTACGGGGCGCGCCACGTCTTGGTGAGCTCGTCATGAACTACAGGCAAGAACGGGGCGGGGAGTTGGTGAGAGGACTGTTGACGACTTCCCGGCAGGTATCACTCGTCTTATGGCGCTTTTCCACTGCGTGGTACGACTCGGCTCGGCACGGCTCAGTACGGCACGGCACGGTTCGGTCCTCCGTGTAGACCTCTACTTGGAACCCCAACCGAGGTGGTACTAAAAAAAGTACCAGGTACCAGGTACTGTACTCAGTGGAAACCCCCCCAAAAGTGAACCGTACCGAGCCGTACCGTGCCGTACCATGCAGTGGAAAAGTGCCATAACAGGCCATGGGCAGGCTCTTCCGGAGCCGACCACTCGAGGCCCAGATCCTCTACCGCCTTTGACAGGACGCGGATGAGTTCGGCGTCCGTTTCGGCCTCAGAGTTTGAGAATGGGGAAGGACTTCGGGCTCCCCGCTGGAACCTCCACACTCTTCTGCATCGCACTCACTGTGCCCGTCCGTCTCATGCAAGGGAGCTGAAATTTTCTCTTTAGGAAATTCGCTCTCAGTCTTGCTCTTCAAGAGCCGGATGGCCGCAGGAAATCCTCACTCCAGGGGCGTCTTCAACCCTTTTCAACCAACCGTTTTCCCCTTAGCGTCTCACGCAACGGGAGAGACCGTTCGGAAGGGAACGGACCTTTTTAAAAATCAGTTTGTACATTTTATTTCAATGGTAATTGAAAGTGCATCACATATAAAAAAAAGTGCATCGCATAATAAAGAGAAATATAAATAAATACAAAATGATTATTTGGTCATAAAGATTTTAGAAACTGTAAGAATGATGCCAAAGATTCATTTTTGTTGGTCTTAATTTAATTCAAAAGAAAAGAGAGGTTTGGGTAAGAGCCTTTTCTTCAGTTGTCCTGTAATAGAGGTGAAATAAAACATAAATAAACTCTTATATAAATATACTTTTGAAATGAAGCAAAACCTGCCACCTGCTGGACGTTATATGCACATTTTCCCTGGCAAATGGTCTAACTGCAATGGGCATTTATTTACAGCTTTTCTATTATATAAAAAATATTTTTTTGGTGTTTTATGATTAAAATCAAAATTAAATTAGATTTACTACTAGCTATTAATAGCTATTATTTTAATGTACATACAATGGGCCAAAAAAGTTTTATTTTTAATCAAATAGATGCAAATAGTCAACGAACCCGTACGGATCCCGGGTCGGGTCCCGGGTCCTCGGGTCTCGGGTCCTCCGTGTAGACCTCTACTTGGAACCCCAACCGAGGTGGTACTAAAAAAAGTACCAGGTACCAGGTACTGTACTCAGTGGAAACCCCCCCAAAAGTGAACCGTACCGAGCCGTACCGTGCCGTACCATGCAGTGGAAAAGTGCCATAACAGGCCATGGGCAGGCTCTTCCGGAGCCGACCACTCGAGGCCCAGATCCTCTACCGCCTTTGACAGGACGCGGATGAGTTCGGCGTCCGTTTCGGCCTCAGAGTTTGAGAATGGGGAAGGACTTCGGGCTCCCCGCTGGAACCTCCACACTCTTCTGCATCGCACTCACTGTGCCCGTCCGTCTCATGCAAGGGAGCTGAAATTTTCTCTTTAGGAAATTCGCTCTCAGTCTTGCTCTTCAAGAGCCGGATGGCCGCAGGAAATCCTCACTCCAGGGGCGTCTTCAACCCTTTTCAACCAACCGTTTTCCCCTTAGCGTCTCACGCAACGGGAGAGACCGTTCGGAAGGGAACGGACCTTTTTAAAAATCAGTTTGTACATTTTATTTCAATGGTAATTGAAAGTGCATCACATATAAAAAAAGTGCATCGCATAATAAAGAGAAATATAAATAAATACAAAATGATTATTTGGTCATAAAGATTTTAGAAACTGTAAGAATGATGCCAAAGATTCATTTTTGTTGGTCTTAATTTAATTCAAAAGAAAAGAGAGGTTTGGGTAAGAGCCTTTTCTTCAGTTGTCCTGTAATAGAGGTGAAATAAAACATAAATAAACTCTTATATAAATATACTTTTGAAATGAAGCAAAACCTGCCTCCTGCTGGATGTTATATGCACATTTCTATCAGCTATCCTTGTAGAGACTCTACATAGGCGTAATGGTTTTTATACTGTACAAACCGTATTTTCTATCACCCTACACCAACCCTACACTTAAACCTACCCGTCACAGAAAACTTTCTGCATTTTTACTTTCTCAAAAAACTCATTCTGTATGATTTATAAGCTTTTGTACCCATGGGGACCTCAATTTAGGTCCCCACCGTGACACAGGTCCCCGTGAGTCTCAAATAGGCCTAAACAGAACATCAATTTTGACATTTATTTGAGTGAATTTCTGACAGTAAATTTGACATTAACATAATTTCTTAACATTGAACGCCTTTGAATCCATGCAAAGCACAGTTACAGGTGGAAAAGGTGTGTGTTTGTAAGGCAGGTGGGCATCATTGCTTTATTCCTATGGGTGCAAACATACGCCACAAAGCATCATGTCTCAGGGGCTCAATCAAGTTCTAGATTTTGGCATGGGCTTAATATCAATTCAAACTGTAAAGCAGCCAAAGAAGTGCTTCGTATCAGGACTGAATGCAGATAACAGTCGTATATTTACTACAATGACACACAGATCACTCGCCGCCAACACAATGACAACACATGGGAAATGACCCGTGAGCCCCGCCCCCTTCCCTTCCTTTATCCCCTCCAACCAATCCGTTTCGCCGACACATGCTGACTCTCAACCAATCAGCGTCGCCAATACACGCGCATCCTCCCCAACAGACCCAAGAAGCTTAAACAGAGTTAAGATGGCGGCATGTGGATGAGGAGGTTGTATATTTCTGCTCTTCGGTTGCCTTCGGCGAAGAAAACACACATTCTCAAAACTAACCCCTAAAGAAAAGAGAAAAGCCCCCCACAAAATCATTTCCCCGGGACCGAGCCCATGACGTCCATTCACTTCGTGGTTCACCCGTTACCCGGGACCGAAGACCAGCTAAATGACAGGTATTTATAAGAAAGAAGCGGTTTGCGATCTGTATTTACCTCTGGATGAGGTGAAAGCGCAATCAAAGATTGTTAATAAAATATCTGGGGTATTTTATGTCTGCTGCAAACGCTCAAGGTTGGACATTTGGGTCTAAAAATAACGAGGCCCGGCTGACTGGAGACACAATGCGGGCTGGGGGATGGGGAGGTGAAAAGAGAGGGAACTGCGATAAATTTATGCCTTTACACGTCAAATAAAGACTTTTATTTTAAATGTACGATTTATTTATTACATTTAACTCGTGTTTTTTAGGATACGCCGAATGAATGCGAAGAGAATCGCTGAATAAAAATCCTCTCAGGTTAGCCGGTTAGCCTTTAGCACTGCGCGAGCTCATCCGTTTAATTAATTTATCCTCATAAAGTTGGTGGAAATCACATCACAACTAGTGTGAAACGTGTTTTGACGTTTGTCCTTCTGGTTTGTTTCATATCCAGGGCTGAACAATTAATTTTAACACTTGTTTATAAACGTGAAGACACGGATCTTTTGAACTGAAGATGATTTAGATAAAGAATTGTTTGAGTTTAATGTTATGCTTTGTTTGTTTATTTCCTTTTTCATGACGTAAACATCCAATTCCAAAAGCTGTAGTTATAATATAACCATAGTCTCTTCCAGTGACTTTACATTTCTTGAAATGTGTAAACAAACTAAATTTCGTTAACTTGACTAGTCAAAATGGTTGCAGATAGTTGGTGATGGTGGTGATTGTCTGATGACAGCTGCATGAGGAATCCATGGCTAGTAACATTGAAAGCATCCTTGGACAAAATGGGTGTCTCTTTGCCTTCTCCTGTTGGTTAAAGGATGTTTTAAAGCTGTGTTGGTTTTTTTTCTCATTAAAATTAAAATGCTCCCCTTAAAATGCTTATTTTGTCATCGGTTTTGTAAGATCAGCCTCAAGCCAGGCTAACCATTAGTGGAAGCCATCAAAGAAAGGGTGACATAGATAAATCATCACAAAGTTATAAATGTTTTTTTTTTTTCCATTTTGACACTAGAATAAAGGCATGTTTATTATAAACATATATATATATATATATATATATATATATATATATATATTTTTTATGAGTACTTAATGCTAATATGCTGCAAATTTTTGTTTGGCCTAATGTCTAATGTTTAATAAAATATATAATTTAAAATTTTATGGATTAGGAAGTGGACTCATTCTTTTTTTTGTTTGCTATGTCTCAGTCCACATTCACACTGATGTTTTTAGGAAGCCAAACATTTCGAATATAATAATAATAATTTTACCTTATTATGGGGAAGTTGTGGCCTAATGGTTAGAGAGTCGGACTCGTAACCCAAAGGTTGCGGGTTCGAGTCTCATACCGGCAGGGATTGTAGGTGGGGGGAGTGAATGTACAGCGCTCTCTCCCACCTTCAATACCACGACTGAGGTGCCCTTGAGCAAGGCACTGAACCCCCAACTGCTCCCCGTGTGTAAATGGCTTAAATGGCTGCCCACTGCTCCGGGTGTGTGTTCACGGTGTGTGTGTGTTCACTGCTGTGTGTGTGCACTTTGGATGGGTAAATGCAGAGCACTAATTCCGAGTATGGGTCACCATACTTGGCCACATGTCACGTCACTTTATTGTTACTGAAATACAGCTGAATTGTACAATAAAATATAGTATATAAGTTATAGTATATGTTACAAGTTAGTATAGAAGTAAATATTAGTTAATTACTTTTTATATAAATCTACCCGCACTAGTCATCAGTGATTCTGATTTCATAAGTTTCAGTTAAATATTTTATTGTAAAATTACTATACTTATGTCTTCATTTTTTTTAACCCGCAAGCTTTTTTTTTTTTTTTTTGGCAGGGAACTATAGCTTCTGTGAAAACAGGTTTTAAAAAATGTCTTGTTACAAATCTAATGAAATGGTTTAATCTCTCCACAAAAATGTTGGAAATTCTGTGAATTTGTAACAGCCGCACGTTGCGTTCCTAAATGCGTATTAAAACCTCAGCGTATGCAGAGATTGTGTTTGCTGCATTTACAGTGAACCAAGATCAGATCACGAGCTGCTCGTGTAAAGCCCCCCCCCAACAAATGTTGATCTTTTATATTGATAATAGAAGTGTAAAAATATTTTTGGTTTTGTGTGAAAACAGGTTTTAAAAAATGTCTTGTTACAAATCTAATGAAATGGTTTAATCTCTCCACAAAAATGTTGGAAATTCTGTGAATTTGTAACAGCCGCACGTTGCGTTCCTAAATGCGTATTAAAACCTCAGTGTATGCAGAGATTGTGTTTGCTGCATTTACAGTGAACCAAGATCAGATCACGAGCTGCTCGTGTAAAGCCCCCCCCAACAAATGTTGATCTTTTATATTGATAATAGAAGTGTAAAAATATTTTTGGTTTTGAAACTCTGGCAGAACAGATAAGACTGTGGCAGGCTGTGAGAGTGAATCACTGTCAGAACTAGAGTAGTTAAGTATGCAGCAGTGTAATAATATTTTTGGTGCCATTCTTTATGGTAAATGGTGCCATTTATTTAATTAATGCATGGAAATGTTACTTTATGACATTAAAATGTGTTATGAATTGCGTTTCAGTCACTTTATGCATCAAAAGGTAATCATTTCCAACAAAGGGAAAACATGCCTTGCATCAAGATTAAATGCAGTTTTGAGTCAATTTGTTTGGACGCTTGGTGCCCTACAAGTTATCACATTCTTGCATTTCTCGCCACTATGGTTAGGTTGTCCTGTTCATTACTATCTGTCATCCCCAGAACGGATGTATACATGCACTAGTCATTAACGTTTCAGCGTGTACATGGAGCCCTCCATCCTTCATTGTCCACTGATACGTCCTGCAATAATGAGCCATGACTTGAAGGCTTTTCTGCTGCGCTGCGTTGACAGAAAACGAGGGACCTTTTTGCAAACATGTCCCCTTCATGCTAGATTCAGCATGATCTCAGTAGCTTAGGCTGCTGCTGTGCAAGGATATTCTCTGTGCACATTGCAGTATGATGTCGCTGAGCTTGGGCTTTTTCGTTTGTATCATGAAGTGCATGCATTGAAAAGCTTGTGTATGCATGTGTTTGCCTTATGCCCAATTTTTGACACCATTTCCCTGCCAATATAATATGCTGTGCCATGCATTATGGTATTGTGGGAGAGCATATTCATGTTGTTTTTGGTTTGTTTTTAGAGTACTTGGACGAAGGTTTTTTGCAGGAGCTGCTTTCAGGTCTTTCCTCTTGTTTTCATACGGAGTTCATCTACAGAGGTCATATACAAAGAGGAGCTGCTCAGTGGTTCAGTATTGATTGTATTGAAATGAGATGAGAATCTTTAGATGATTGTATGTAATAATTTGAGTATGTAATTTGAAAAATGACTTATCGTTTGTAAACATCATGGTGTTTGTGTTCAGAAGTTGTCTCTATTGCTTATCATTGTTCAGATGATGCTGTAGGCATGTTGCTGTACTAGTGTGCCAAGTATGCCAAGCAAAACATTGGCTCTGTTCCAAAACCTAGTGAGCTGCCTACTAAGTGAGCATCCTAACTGAAATGAAACCTTATAAGGGACTTATTTGGAATGTACTACATAGACAGTAGCCCTGTGTCTTTTAAATTATTTAAATGCTCTAGACAAAAAGTGTATGGTGAATTAAAATGCTGCCTACCTAGGCAATATACTAGATTTTGGTATGCAACCATTTGTACTGTTTTACAGCTGGTTTATGACACACTTTTTGTCCAAGAGCTTGAAGGACTAAAGTTGGCCAACATCTGAGAGAAATCTTTTTTCCTCCGCCAATTTGGAGCCGTTTGCACGCTGCCTTCCAAGTGTGTTTTTTGTCCCTGGTGCACTCATACCCAAGGTTTCCTGGTGGAAATTGAATGCATTTGTTTTTATATCTGATTGTTTGGCCTAAAAATCTCTATTTTCATACCCAGTCATTGGTTTTAAGGGCTGTTATCTTGCAGCATGAAAAAATGAAATCCTTCGTAATGAAGAGAAGATTTCCAGCAGAGCCTCACTTTTTTTCGTTTTTCAAAATGTAAATACAAATATATCAATAAAAAAATATAAATAAGAAATAAAATAAATACAAAAATTAGGAATGTAACTATTAACCGCGAGCCGGTTGAAAATCGATTCAAATATGTGACGATTCAAATCGGTTGAGATGCTAAACAAATCTCGATTCATTTAGGTGTAGGAGTTTATATGAATGCATGTCTGAGGGGAACTTACTGTCTTTAGAAAAGTTTAGATGGTATTTTTTCTTTTCATCTTGCCTCTGCATTAGTGTTGTCAAAAGACCCGGTATTTCGGTACCAAGTCGGTACTAAAAAAATGAAAAC